CGGATGCATCCGAAGAAGTGGGCTGTAGTCCACGAAAGCTTATGCTCTAATAAATTTGTTAGTCTCTAAGGTGCCACAAGTACTCCTGTTCTTCTTTTTGCCGATGGGTGGGGCAGCCAAGCTTGACCCGGGGGCAAAAGAGGTTCATTTCTGCAGTGTGAACACAGCCAAGGACACTTGGATATACGGAATTTGTTAGCTTCTCAGTGCAGACAGCATCACCAACAGACAAAAGCTATTTTGTTTTCCTTGTCGGCCGTCATTCAGAAGTGAAACCCGAAGCAGCGAAAAACCATCAGCAATGTTTCGTTCCTTGTATGTCTCAGCCTCTTGTGTGTGTCTGCCCCCTACTGTTAATAACTGTAAGAAACCGCCAAGGATAAAAGCACCAATAAAACCTCATACATGATAATAGTGTAGCAAACTACTGTCACTGGAAGAGATGCTTGCAGAGATACCAACTACACACTGCTTTAGTTAGAAAACGGAAAAAAAAACCCCACATTTATATGTAGTGAAATATTTGTTACTCTGAGATTTGAAATAATTTGATACTTGCTTATTATAAAACAGTTGCATTTGGGGTAAATGGGTAAATACAAAAAAGAAAGGCACTGCCGCTTTATTACTAAATATTTGACTTCACAGCCTTATGCATGCAACTGGTTTTTATAAATAAATTTATTTTACTTTAGAATTTGATTTTTAAATTGAGCTCTGCACCTGCACTCAACACAGGCCTCAAAACGGAGCTGGGAAGGACTTCCAAAATTTAACCGAAGCTACTTTTTAATTAAAACAAAAAACAGCAAAACACAACAAAGTCTATCATTAACCTATACACTCCCAATGGAAAATAAGCTTTTTAAAAAAAAAAAGAAAAGAAAAATTGAATTATGTGGTTGTTAATAACAGACATTATCATGGTTACCAGCCATAGCAAGTTAATAAGTAAAATATATCCAAAATAATATATCTAATAATCAGATAACCTCTGTTTCTATATTCAGCAAAGGAATAAATAGAATTTCAGATTTGTAAATACTTTGTCTTCCTTTCAAAAGATTCATGCTAAGGTGATTGTGTTCACAATTCATTTTCTGAAGCTGCACATTGTGTATAGCTATGAACGCTCAAGATGCAACTCAGATTTGAATACCTTCTCATTTCCTAGCCAAGCTGTGTAATACTGCAGTTCATTAAACTCTTCATTAACTTTGTTTTAAGCTCCTTCTAACACATTCCAAAGTCCCCTCCCACCGTCTTCCCTCATTACGCCACCAAATCATGCTCAGTTACATTGTATCATGCATTCTGGTAAACAGGAAACCAAGAAATATCAACTTTATGTCAGTCAGCATGAAAAATTGCATTTTGGCACTTTTTGTTTTTATAAAGTTAAGTAAAAATGCTGCATCTAAATTGGATTTACAAACCTTATTGTACATGTAAGAACACCTCTTTGAAGCTGCGGTTTAGCCCTTAGTCCCCCCTTTTAAAATAGTCACGTTGAATGTTTGGCACTGAAAATATTTGCTTCTTCGAGCAATTCCATAACTACTTTCAGAGAATATCAACCACCCAAACAACGTTAACCAACAGAACTGATTTCTGAAGTATTGTACAGATTCACATAGCCATGGTATGCACCAATATTACTTTTCTTTATATAATAAAGAAAAATTGCACGCACCAAATTATTTCTTACTTACACCAGGGTGAATCCGGAGTAACTTCACTAAAGCCAATGGAAATGCATTGGGGTAAAACTGGTGTAAGTAAAAAAAAGAAAAAAAAACCCCAGGCCCTCTGGGTGTCAAGCAAGCAATGGGGATTCAATAACCACGTACTACTGAAATGTTAGGTGACGATTCTGTTTTCATTTGGGTGTAAATCTGGAGCTAACCCACTGAATTCAATGGAACAACTATGGATGTACGCTGGTGTACATGAGACTTGATTCTGGACTCAGATCTCAGTTTAAACACTTGCTGGTTCAAAGGTATAGCAAATTCACGTATGAAATGAACCAGGGCCACCCTGAACTCCATTATAAAGAGCAACGTGTAATTGCTACAGTTCTGGGAGGACAGCAGCACACAGATAGATGTGCATCCAAACGACTGGCTCTTAAATCTTTAATCCACCCACATGTTGACCTTTCTTCCCTTACACGTAATGTCCAGTTTAGCCTGCTTATTACTCTATGGCCACATGCACGCTCATTATCTGTCAGGACCAAGAAAAAGGCATCAGTGTTTGTGAGCCAGTATAAACACCGAACAGAGCGTACTCACTATTCATACTGAGAGCTGCAGTCTAGCACTGCTTACATGTTGCTGCTCTCCCGCATGGTCCCTTACCACAGGAAGCTCATGCTTTCCCCTTTAATCCTTCTCTACCTGCTCACATCCTCGTTATCTCCCAGGGCAAGAAAAGGCCCAGCCCTCTCCCCCTGTAGTTTAGCTGGCAAACTGTAGCTAGTTCTGAAAATGATCCAGTCAGTCTGGGATGTAGTGGCAGGTCTGTAAAAGCCACGATGCAGCATCTTTTAGGTATTCACATACACAAGACAAGAAACAAGAAACTGATCCCACTTGCTCTCCGCGCCCAATCACATATAGTCCCGCCCACTCCACAACATCCCTCCTCTCTTCTCCGATGTCCTCTCCATCCCAGCTGATAAGATGAAAACCCAAGGCCTGCCCCTAGAAGCACAGCTTGGTTGCTATGTAAAATGCAAACCTGCTGCTATTAACAGAAGTAAAACAAAAAATCCTTTACAACAGGAATATGAGACAAAGGCCTACCAGACATTTTTACACACTTATGTACCCTTTATATCTGCTCTGATGTAAACAATACACAAATTGAAATTTAGTTGTTTTAAATTTGGTTGAAAGGATGTTTGGTGGTGGTTGGTTTTTATTTTCCTTTTTGACTGCACTGCAGCTCCAGTAGATGTTTGAGCTCCAGTGAAATACAAGAGTTGTAAACTCTGAACAATAAGTTACCCCCTTGTTTTTTTGGTCACACATGTGATATTTGTTAATTTCCTCCTTCAGAAACAGGGTTTGCCTGGTGCCTGTTTGCCTGGTGCTCTCCATCCTCCCCAGCTGGAGATTAACACCTTATTGACCAGCACTTTGCCTTTCCCCCACACTTTTCCTCTAGAGAGGATGTAATAAATGACAAAACAAAGTCCAATTCTAATGATAAGTTCACAAGGACAATCTACACATTCACAAAATTAAAACGAGAGAGAGAGAGAGAGAGAGAATGCAAAATCTCTTTGAGAATCCTGTGCACGTCTGGAGACTGTTGCCACTGGACCCGCAGCAGTCATTCTCACGGCCAGCGCTGTCCACCGTTACACGTTCATCTTCTATATCGTAGAGGTTCTGTCCACGCCGTCTGAAAGATTTAAGTCATAATCAGAAGTAGCCACATGTCGCTTTAAATTGCATTTCCTCAATACTACCATGATGGGCATGTTACAAATACTCAATTTAAATAAACACGGCAGATTGGCCTGAATCCAATCGGTAGATCCAAATGTGGGGGAAATTCAGATCTGGATCCAAATTTGGTGGCTCAGGTCCACCTACCTACCTTCCATATCTGTGTGCCAGTCAGCAGGGCACTGCCCTGCCCTCTCTAGTTGTGAATGTAATTTCTATGCTGGTATGCAGTAGGGGCTCAAATGTATCTTTACAATCTGCTCTGAGTAAGGGATGCATGTAGTTCTGCTGCTCCAGGAGCAGCCAAGGGAATGCAGCGTGACTCAGAGTCACCATGCATGCCCTGGTCCCTCCTGTACTCCAGGAAGGAAGCAATCTGCTTCCGGTCTATTGCCCATTTCTTGTTCCTGTTTGCCCACTTCCCCACCCCCATCTGGTGTGGGTCAGGGAACAGTGGCCATGCAGAGCTGTGCAGTGACCTACAATGTAGAGGGCCCATGCAAGTACTTTATAGCCCCTGGCTCCATGTACCAGAATAGAGCAAAAGAGATGGTCTTGCCCTAAATTAATAGGCAAGGTTCTGAATAGGCGGTGCACATCTCTGTTATCCTGTCAGGTCTTGCCCTGTGCGCTCTGAGGAGGCAAAACTCCCCTTTACGGCAGCGTGAGAGGGACTGCAGGCTCAGACCCTGTTCCAGGAGCGTTTGGAAATGCAGTCCTGCCCAGAGGAATGGCAGCTGCTGGGTGGATTTCTTCCTATGGCCTGGGGTTTAGTTTGCTTTTAAAATGCAACAGAACTAGGACAAGGAAGTGAAAGGAACAATTAGAAATAGAGGCCAGTAAGGTCACAGAGGAAGCTTTAGTGCCATGCCCGGGGCACGGACTCCATCTCATTTCAATGGAAGCTGATGGGTCACAGGGGCCAGGACTGAGACGTCTGGGGCTAAATTCCCCTTGGTTCATTTCCGGCCTCCTCTTTCTAAGGCTTCCTAACAGCCGCCCGGTAATGTACTGTCCCCGACTCTTTTCGCCCGGGTCCCTGTCCCATCACAGCCCAGGAGTCAGGCTATTTGGGGACTCGGTGGTTGGGGAGGAGGGGTTGGAGCAGAAAACTCCTCAGATAGGGGTGATGTCTCAGCAAGGCCTTAACGAGCCAACTGACCAGTCAGAAAGCGCTGAGAGGTGTGCGTGGGCTTATCATGCCTGCTCCCGCCAATGAAATCCACAGTGCCTATGACGCTCCATGCACAGCTCTCTACAAGGGGATGAAGTACGGAGAGAGAGAACAACAATGAAAAGCCTGGGTGAGGATTAACGCTGCAGAAGGGTTTTGAACCAGACACGAGTTATGACACATGCATTCGGGGTGCTAGCTTGTGACACAGATTCACTGTCTTTGAACACGTATTTGTTGACGCGGCTCCTCTGTGCTCAGTCGTGCACAGGCTTGTGAACGCATTAGGGTGGCTTTCAGAAACACAACAGCAGGCTTTGGGCTATGGAAAGTCTTGTATTTCCAACCCTACCTGGAATTATGGATGTAGGCCAAAGATGGGCATGACCTGAAACATCAGCTCAACCTGCTGCCGCACCCCCACCCTTCAAACTTGGGGGCAGAGTGGATCCAAATTCAGTGGCTGGCTCATCTCTAGGACGGGCTGAGACAAAACCTGGATCCAAACACCTGCCAGGCTCTGGGAAGTTCAGACACAGGTTCCTGGCCCCTCCTCAGCGGAGGCACAGTAGGAGCTGGATAGCCCAGCTCGGACGTGCCCTGATCTGGGAGAACGACGTGAGCGGTAGGCGGTGGAGTGGCTCCTGCTGCAGTGCTGTGCCCCGTGCTGCCCTGAGCGTCAGAGTGCTGCAAGGCGACCTAGAATGATGGCACCTGGGAGAGCCCACCCCGTTGAACACGGCGAAGGGAATCGGGCTGGGGCTGCGAATGGCAGAGGCGCTCATCCCAGAAAAGCAGCAGCTCCCCCATTCCCACCTCGCCCCAACGTCATCCCACATAATGCAGCCCATTTAGCGCATGAGCGAGACTGAGGAAATACCTAGGAGGGCTGCCGTAATGATCCGACTTCTAAGAGACACAGCAGCAGCTGGTGTCAAGACACTGGTTGTTTTGTTACAAAGCCAGAACTATGCATAAGGGCAGCAGCCTGGCATACCACAGCCCACCACATTACTGACTTTGGCAATCTCCAAGGGAGCTATTCCTAACGCCGGGCCCGGCACACAGCGCTCCCTGTTCCCCTGCTCAGCTCATCATGGAAATCGCTTGACACACGCTTCAGTTCCTCCCGCTGGAATGTTAAGACTAAAAACAAACAGGTTTGTTACGCTCTGATTTGTTTGTTTATTTAAAGCTATTTATAGCACTTTTCGTGTAGGGAGGCCTGGGCCAAGGCAATGCGGGTCAAAGCCCTAACTGGCCTGGCCCCTCCCAGCCTGAGCATCTGTCTCTCTCCCCACAATATACTGCCAGGCAGGGACTGGCGACAGGGTGTTCTCCACCCTCAAGACTGGAGTTGGATGCCCGCTCCTCCCCGCCACAGGCCATGGATTTCTAGGCATGCTGCACAAACTCTTTGTTTGATGGCGCTGGGGGAGTGGTTTGAAGGGTTGTTTTGCTGCGGTGATCGATTGGCTGACTTGGTTCATTCTTTGTACGCGGATAGTTTTTTCGTAGCTGGGTGGCCGTGGTTTGGGAAAGTCATGGCCAGTTCATGGCTAAGGGCACCTGGAGCGTTGCGCAGGGATGTTTCAGTTTGTTATCTAAATCGAAATAAAACAACTCACAAAACCTATACGTGCCGTGATGCAATCAGATCTTCCTCTGGCTTTCGCCTGGCCCAGTTGAGACATCCATCCTTCTGCTAAGCTGTTGGTTCTGGTACCTGCTCCGTCCACCCGCCTCCACCCCATTTGTCAGTTTTGTCCATTGACTGTGTCCTGTCTGATATCTACACTGTGAGCTCTGTGGTATTTATGGTATCTAGCACAACGGGGCCCTGATCCTTGACTGGGGTTCGTAGACGTTACCGTGACACACAGTAACAGTAGTAACGGTCAGGGTTTTCTCAGTGGAGATCATGGGCCTCGCTTTCTGCAGAGCTCAGCCTGAGACACAATCCTTAAGGGCCAGTGGAAGATGCATCTGTTTAGAGTTAAGTTGCCACAGTCGACTATGTCAGACAGCTAATGCGGCTCTCCCGGCAATCAGCTCCTGGCATCCGATCCCTGAGGAGAATTCTCCCTTCTACTGGAAAACTGACGGCTATCAGTCTGTAGGGCACCCAGGCACGAGGGTGATGGGCGTTTTTAGAAAGGCACAGGCTAAAAGAATCATACCTGTATTCAGATTTACGCTGAATTTAGTGGCACTAGAATGGAAAGGTCTTTTGGGAAGCCCAAGTTTCACTAACCTGCCCCTCCCCCCCACGTTGGCAGGCTCTTGCAGTGATATAGAAACAGCGTGCTCAGGCCAGATGTCCAAGTCCATACACAGGGCCAGCTCCTCAGCTGGGTAAATCGGCCTACATCTATTGACTACACCAGCTGAGGGGCTGGCCCTTAGAGCTTAATCCGGCTCCCATTTCAGTCAAGGGGATGGTGGCTGTGACAGACGGCCTCAAGGAGATGAGGAAAGAATTAAAATGGGGAATCCTCCTGGCTGTGCCAGAGACACTGTGGCCGACAACAGAATGGAGGGAAAGGAAAAGGGTGCACTCACCCCCCAGGGCATGTTCAGTCATACTCAGGCACAAGGACTCCAGCCTGTTGTTGATGTCAGGTTCTGTCACTGGTACCTGGAACTCTGCAAAGGAAATGGAACAGACTGTTACTCCGGAGACCCACAATGGCAGAAGCAAAGTCACAACCAATCTAAAGGGTAAATACAATAGCTGGGCAGGTAGGAATCTGTTCTGCACTGACATATGCCCTGTGTAAACCCGATGACAGGAGCCTCACTTCGCTTCTGTCCCTCTGACAACTCCCTCTAAAGACTGAAATTGAGCTTTCATTCCCAATGTTGGATGTTTTTATGCTCATTTATATGTGCAAGCACATTGACTTTCTCTCTCTCTCTCTCTCTCACACACACACACACACACACACACACACACACACACACACACACACACACACACACTACTCACACACACA